TAAAGCCAGGGTTAAGTAGTTAGGGTGAAAATCAAGAAGCCAGCAATTATTTGGTTACGCAATTACCACAGCCAGGCAACCGGCAGGTTCAATAGGCTTAAATAATTTGCCCAAAATCCCCTTTTGACGCAAAAACAAACAAATAAATTCAAAGCAAAAGAGGCACAAAAACTTTCCGGTCCCGCAAAATACAAACACAAATAGTGAAAGTTAGCAGAAATGATACGGGGGCTGGGCAGGCAAGTGGGCGTGGCATAGGAGCTGGAGGGAAGCCAGCAAGCGACAAAAGCCGTCTTCTGAATTGCCACACAATTTATTATTATTGTTTCATACAAACAGTAAATGCGCGAAAATAAAGCTGGCTCAAAAGAAGCAAAGGGAACTAAAAATCGGGGAAATTTTCTGCAACAACAAACCACTTTTGTTTTTGTTCTTTTGGTGAAAGTCAAAAAATTAGTTCGTCTGCGCCACTTCAAAAGGCTACAAAATCCAATTGCCAAACCGCTGCAAAAATGTTGTTAAAGTGGAGTTTCTGTGTACTTTCCATTTGGTCGTGGCACCGCCCTAGTTTCAGTGCACTTTCATTTAGAAAAGTGCAGCGAACATTTGAATTTTTGTTGATTTCATTGCGGTTTGCTTTGAATTCGAAAATGAAAGGAAAAGTAATACGGTTTCAGCTTTGTAAATGTACCCGAATCACCAAAAAGAATTCAATGAAATCTACGAAAATGAAATAAAGGAAAAAATATATATTTTACAAATACACAAGCGAATAAAACTTAGAACAATTTATAAAAATATAATAAATTTAGTTTACATATTTATTTTACAAATTGATTATTTTTCAATAAATGCTTTTAATATATTTATTGCTGGCCATTCATCAAAGCGATGATTTACACCGCTCGCAGGAACATTTATTTGCAGTCCTGCAGGACTCGCTCATATGAGCTTAAAAAAATGTATATTTATGGCCAGATGCAATCAACGGAACCAATGTGTCCGCGAATTGTCCATCAAAACGAGAGCCCACAACAAGTAACAATAAAACCAAATGCATTCCGCATTAAATCAATTCGCGTTGACTTGCTGGCCACAAAAAGTTGCACAAGCGCCCATCAATCAAACATAAGACACACGCAAAACAGGGCAAAATGACAAAAGTATAAGCCCCATATAAACTGCACATGGCTTTATTCTCGCACATTTAATTAAAATGCGGCCCAGACACAATATTCGTCAAAGTGATTGGCCCGAAAGCGGCTTAGTGAACTTAAGTAAATTAAATGTTATGGTTGTCGGGAATGGGTGGGAAAAGCTAAGGGAAACCTCAATGGAAATTGTCTTTAAAACTGTTTTCGGCGACGACAAAGCGAATAGCAATAAATACTCCACCAAGTGGTGGGTGTGTCGGGGCCCAGAGGGTTGGAACAGAGCTCTGGGAAATTTGCATATTTTAAATTACTAGTGGGGCCTCTCTTGGCAGCGATTGCTTTTGGGGTTGACAATGGTGCAGCCACGACAACTCCAATTTATTTGTAATTTGTTCGAAATTTATATCAAACGCAGGCCCCACACCTATTTCCTGCCCCAGAGGGTCTCTTTTTCACACACACAACACTCTGCCACACATAATTGCACTCATAAAATGCCGAATACTCAGCGCCGCACGCTCCGATATTTATGCTTCCAAGTGATACCCATTGCTAAAAAAGGTATCTTTGAATTTAAGAATTTTATATTATTAATTTTGTCAATACTTTTATAACAACAAATTTTAAAATATTAATATTTCTGCTAAGTACTATGGATATTTGACTTTTTTATTGTTATATTGGAAAGTTTTACAGTTCCTATTGAATTTGAAAATATTTTTGTAATATTATTAAAATAATTCAATTATATATATTAATCTGTTTCTAAATTTCCTCCATATATAAATACTTATATTTAATGCTTGCTTCCCAGATATATGAGCTACAAATATTATGTTTGCTAACATATCCATCGTATTATTTATTTGCCCATTTAATTTATTTGCTAGTTGGCATCGTCAGGTCGATCTCATCATTGCCAGGAAGCTTAATTCCACATGTAGACATATCTTAATGCTTACAGACTTGGGGTAGCTGGGAAGCAAGCAAACAAACAAATTATGTGCTCATTTGAATACACATTCTAATGCGAATCACGTTGACAAAAATTCATTCAAGCGTGCAGGATACACACACACGAGCACACGCAATCGCCCCAAAATCACCCACACTGGACGGGAGGATACCTGACTTTTGACTTTCGAACTATGGCCTATCCAATCAGGCCTGCTACCAGGTCCTGCCGGAGATAGGGATAAGGGGCGTGGCAAATTGTCTCCACCTCGGATGCTGACGAGTACATATTTATAAAGCGCTCATTTCGAGCAGAGCACACAGATGGAGTGGCATCCCAATATCCAGTTAATCTATCGGAACATGGTGCAATGTGTAGAAAATTAAATGTTCTAGCTAGACCCTCATACACTGCGAAAAACTACTGCCTTATTGTTTTGTTGATTACATTGACTTTGTTTTAGAAATATAAGTATTCGATTCGAATATAATTTTCGATCTTTCCATTTCTTGATTATATTTCTATCAAAGGCTAAATTAATCATGACTTTTAACGTTAAATTACAAAAATAGAATTCAGACAGCAAACTCTTATATTGTTGCATTAAAATGTTAAAAATATTAAAGATATGTAACTCCACTAATTTGTTTTGATTTTATTTTCCCTTAATGTTTGATTTACCTCCTTTTATTGCTCTTATTAATAAACAAATTTGTACTCTTTAGCCATACAGCTAGATATTCTATTCATCAATCCCAATTTTATATCTTAATCGAACAAAAGTAAAAAATTCTACCATATACACATAAACTTTATATATTTCTGTAAGGATTTGCTTTGCATGTCATGTTACTTAACTAATTTATTACAATTTGATGTTTCTCTCGGTGTCTGTGTATGCCGATGTCCTTGTTGTGGCTGTGTGTGCCATGTAAATGCAAACTAAATATGTACAAACGCCACAGCCAGGCATTAAGTCGATTGCTTCAAGGACTTTATCGCGCTTAGAGGAAAAGCTCCAACAAAAAATGTGAGAAAGGGGGCGCAGACTGATTGAGGAATGGGCGGGTGGGAGTGGCTGAGAGATTCCTGGCGGCTTTGTCATTCACACCCAGTTGGATGTCTGCTTCCATCGCTCCATTTCGCATTGTCACTGCTAACAGCTCCTCGCCACTCTGCTTTCCTTCCCCCCTCAAGTGTAAATGAGTGGCTCCACCCTTCGCACCACCACCACCACCACCGCCGCAACCAATCCACCTAACCACCCAACCACCTGGCTATGCATGTGCTGCAAAGGCTTTTTAATAAGCAATTTATTTTTAGCCTAACAACGCTCGTATAATGAAAAACGTAGAGTCTCAGTTCCAGCGGCTTACAATTCACTTGCAATGATTTTTCCACCCACATTTTCCCACTTTTCCACCCCCTCGCTGAGCGTGTTTGCCAACGATAATTAATTTTTTGGCCTACCCCAAGCAAGAAGCTAAGACCATGAGTTCGTACCGCATTAAAAAGAAATTAAAATGTTGCCATTCTCCTCCGCATTTTCCACCTCGCCAACCTCAAGTACATATAATGAGATAACTTGGAGACAACTGGCGAGAATTGAGTGTATAAGGAATAATACTGAACAGCGAGGAGTACTGGTTGAACATTCATACACTTATTTAAGTCAGGGCTTATATTACATACAAAGGATGTTCAAAACGCAGGACTTATTTATATGCATTCTTATTGAAGTTAATGGGTATTGAAGCTCAACAGAGCGGTAAAAATCATAAAAGATCATATTTGAAAAGTAGTAACGAAGGACTTACAGCAGTCTTGATCTTGGATTAAAAAAAAAATAATTCACTTCAATCAAAGATAAATTGAAATTAAATTTATTAACAAAAGTTGAATGTTATTTCCTTTATCTGACAATCTATATCTATAAATTAAATGTTAAAAGGCAAGTTCACATAAAATTTTTCCGATCTTGTGAAAGTTTTGTATTTTTGATAGCTATTTAGTACACTTAAAATTCAGTTGGTGATAACTTTAATCCAAATATTGGCAAGCTTCTACTCAAAATATTAATTCTTAACATTTATTTAAAATTTCTTGTCCAAAAAAAACAAAATCAGAGAAGAAATAGGTGTCAGATAAATCAGACCTTGTCAATGACGTTGATAAAAACTGCGCTTCGTTTTCGTAGAGCCACAAATAGCTGCAATCAACATGGCAAAATGGCAACATTTCAAGCCTACTCATAAATCAATTTCGTTTTTATTGCGAATGCCGTTTGTCTGTGCTTCTTTTACATGGCCATTGCCAGCAATTTTTGTGGCCATTTTTATGTCGTTCAGTTAATAAAGGCCCACACCCACCCAATGGAGGAAAAAAGTGGCAAGTTCAACAAACAGGCAAAAACTCTCGGTTTTACTTTTGGCCCGCAAGCGTATAAATATTGTTTTTAAACCCCAATGAAATATTGCACGCATTTTTGACGAAACGCCCATATGCACAAATAACATTTATAAATAAATAAATATAATCATAAATAAATGAAGCCCAAGCACATGACAGCTTGATGGCAAAAAAAAAAGCACAAAGGAAAATAAATATTGCACCAAATTGAAAACTTACTTCAAAGCCGTGACGTCGCTTTTTATTTGCATATTTAATTTGATTTGCCAAAAAAACAGGAAGATATTCAAAAAATTAAATAAATGGTAAGATACATTTACCATTACCTTTAACGTGATTCAATTTTTCTGTAATGATGATGACTTTCGCTTTCTATATTAAAATGGCAAAGTTATTTCTAAACTCGTTTATATTTTTTTATATAGTACTTTGTTTTTTGCAGAACAATATTTTAAAGCTGTCTGATATTTTTTCAAACCTACCTTATTATCGCTTTAATCATCCGCAGCTTAGTTGTCCAAAAAGTAACCTGAAAGAGAGAAGAAAGGGCTTTGAAAAACAACGCAAAAGGGTTTTTATATTAGAAATGTATAAAACTTTTCGTTCCATTTTGTTTTGTTTTTCCTCTTTTTTTAATATAAAATGGCTTTGGGTGGAAAATTCGGAAAGTGAGGCGGGCAAGGAGAATATGTAAATATGTGTTGGATGCTGGATGCCTTTGGAGTCCTCGTAGCAGCATGCTCGGAATTTAAATTTGTAGCTAAGCCTCGAAAAATGCGAGCCGCTTCATTTTGTGAAAGCAGCCAGCCTGACCCTTTTGTGGGTGTGTGTGTTTGTGTGTGTGTGTGTGATGTATCTTTGGTGACAAAGGACAACGCCATAAGGCTGCGGGGGCAACAATAAAATTAAATATTCTATTTAATGGCATCGTAGTATGCCAGACGCGTCGCCCAACTTTTTTTTCTTGATGCATTCCTGCAGGAACAGGGGCGTGGCTCGGGACCTTTGACCTCTCTGCAACTTCTTAGCTACTGCTTGAACTTCCTGCCAAGCCTTCAAAGGCCAACCCTTTGTTTACTGTAAACAGCAAGCTCGTACTCGTACTGCAATCCAATAAAAATGCTGTAAACTTTCATTTTAATTCCGTTTCATGGCAGCTAAAATTGCAACCAGTTTATTCGAATTCTGATTGTCCGTTTATTAGCCCCGGGCTCCTTTCGAATAACCAAAATAAGGCCACGTCTCTGTCCTCGCCAGGGGCATGCAAATAAAACAGATTTTATTGGCGGTCCCTTGGTCCTTTTCTTTGTTCCACTTTTTTTTTTTTTTGCAACTTTCTCCTTTTCTGGCCTAACGAAAGGCAGGACTTATCTTTCGACTTGGGGTTGTTGTTTTGCAATTTCAAGTTCCATATAAATTAAGCAGATAATATAAATTAGATGGGATCGTGGCGGCTTGTGTGATCAGATACCCGTGCCATATTCCAAAGTGAAGCTCAGCGAAAATCGATGACACAAGTAATGCCTCAATTAAGCTGCCAGGGAGAATTTGTCAAGCCAGCGACGGAAAACATAATGAAAAACAAGCACAATATTTGCATCTCCTGAAGGTCGAGGCACTCCGCACTTTTCCCCAATAGATATTTAATACTCGGCAGCATTTTTTGTTTGCCCTCCTCCGCAGACCACGAGGGGCAACCACAGCAAACAGAGTCTAAACTTTTTATTCTCTGCTCCTTGCGTGGGAAGATGTAATGAGTGGGTGGATGGGTGGCTTGGTGGCTGGCAGGATGGGGAGTTGAAGGGCGGGGTGCGTCGAGACTCGGCATTTGTTTGAGCAATATTTTCGTGTATATTTTTCAGCTTTTCCGCACGTTGTTGATGGTTGTTTTTTTAGTACCCCATGAGACGCTGTTTTTGGGTATTTCGATTTGAGTGTTTTTAAATGGGCAACGCTTTAAAGAAACGTCTTAACTTTTGACAGTTTTATCTCTTATTATTAATAAAAAAAATATTAGAATTGTCTAAATTTTTTTTTGTAATAATAATATTTATTGTTAAGTTAATTATATTTAACCGAGCAAAAAACTCTTTTTTTCTGAAATAGAAATGCCTCAGTAAATTTGGAAAAGGTTTAAGATTTAGTAAAAATACCCCTGTAAAAGATAATAACCAACAAAAGGAGTCAAGTAAATTACTTATTTAAGGATGACAGCTTTACTGATATTTTTTAAGATTTCGGTAAACCAAATAAAAATATTTTTATTTATTATTAATATATATTTTGCAAAACAAGCTGAGTAATTTTGTCAAAGCCTGTAGGAACTTTTTTAAAATTTTTCTTATATCCCCTCTTATGTTATTTTAAAGTCTACATGACAACCGTTCCCAAAGCGAATGAATTTGGTTAAATACATTTCCCTCCGAGGAACCACAATGGGTATTACCAAGTCGATGATTAAGCTCAACCCTCCACCCCAAAAAGGGGCAAAGTTTTAAAGGCGTCACGCCCTTACAGCGCATTACAACTCACTTCCTTAGTCTGGGGGAGGTTGGCAGAAATGGGTTTCGTCCTGGCTCCCAGTTCGAGTAGGCCAGGGTTGCCAGGTCCCTTCACACCCCACACTCACCCCCACTGACAGCGCATAATTGCGCTGCGTCTGAGGCAAAATGAAAATATTTGAAGCTGCGAACTTCTCAAGTGTAAAAAATTTAATTTCGAAATGTAGGTTTAACGAACGGAAATTGCTTTCGCTCTCCGCGGAAAAAATTGAGTGAGCCCTTGCCGTGCCTGTCCTTGTTATTATTGTTGCCCGATTTTCCTCCCCGTTCGTTTGGCTTGGCTGAGGGAAAAACAAAGTAAATGCAAAGCCAGAAATAAAGTCGGCCGAAAGCATAACCAGGGCGAAAGCATATCTCATTGGTGATTTCGTTTGCAATTTGTTTGGCTAACTTTCTGATTGAGCTCGTGGCTCATTGCGGCGCATAACAGGCGCAGAATGGAATTATTTAATGTTTTACATTTGGCCCAAGCTGCCCCCAGCCTCCTCAACTTTGGCCCATTTACCCGGGTAATTGCAATTGATTTGTCGAGCACTTTGCACGCCAATTTGTTTCTGGTCACGGTCAGTTTGAGCAGGGAATGTGGTCAAGGCTGTGGGGCGTCAGCAGATTGGCACCGACAAGTGGAAATTTAAGCGCAGTCTTTGATCTTGAGACTTGAAAAGCAAATTAGCACCTCGCCAATTGCTTTGACCTACAAAATTAGGCAACACGAGGCAACAACATTTTTGCAGGCTACTAAATTGAATTTCCTTGGAATTATAAAACCAAATCAAACGAAATGTCGTGTTCTACTTTTAAATCGATAAAACACAGCGTAATGAATTTGAGTAATAAATAGTAATTAATAATACAAACAATATTTTATAATATTAAGAGTGTAAATTCCAAAAAAGATCTATTTCATTGCGAATATTTTTATTTTTATATATTTATCTCAAGCTTTCAAGATGTTAAAATATTTAAATCCCAGTTAACCATGCCATTTACTTATACAGACTAAAAGTAGTTATTTTGTAACACAATCTTGTCACATTTTCGGCATCCGGATGTTTACGATCATACCATTATTTTGTAAGTCGTAAAAATCACATTATATTTCTTAAAATTTACCATCTTTGTAGAATAGATCATAGAGACAAAAGCGTACAAAACACGAAATGGCTCCTGTTTTTGGAAAGGGGTTGGGAACTCAATCAACCTCATTTGCACAGGACGATGTGACGGAAATCGTGAGTCCCAGGATCCTGCATTATTCAAGTTCGTCGATTTGCATCGGTGGGACGAACAACGATTCGGACTTCAACACTTCATCGCGAGGCATTGTGGACTTTGAGAAAATCATCGAGTTGGATGATATTTCCAACACCTTTGAGATTGAAATACCCAGCACATCCTTTGCGGCTAGAGACAAGTCCTTTGCAAACTTTCTCCTGGATTTTTACATGGCTCGTGACAGCAAGGGTGATATGCACGAAGCAGCTGCCATGTGGGTTCAATTGCCAGAAAATCACAAAGAAGCTTACAAAGCGGAGAACTATGTCCTCAAATTATTTTCCAAATGTGATAACAGTGATGAGATGTTTCACCCGGAAAAGAAAATGGATGTTGATATTCATGAATATAACAATGATAATGAAAAGGTTGGAAACAATGAGGTTGAGGAGCCAAAAACAAAAGCATCGCGACAATATTATAAGGAAAAGAAACCGACCAATAAACTGCAAAAACCATTAATGCGGCTGAGGCTAAAATTGAAGGCAGTCAAAAAAGCGAGTTCAATCCTCGACTCCTCCGGCAGTTCGCAATCGCAAAGCCAGTAATACCTCGGATAGTAAAGATGCCGAAACTCATCCTAGTCCTAAGCAAAATAGAAAAAAAAGAATGATGCCCAGTAACTCCGTGAGCTTTTGCAGCGTAAGTTCGTCAATTGAAGTATTTGCCCATCGGTTCTGGCCGAAAAGGTTATTTCCCACATTACCAGAATTTTCTGTTCCAATTTCAACGAAAAAATCCCAACCGACTAGCCGTTGAAGCCAATTCTATATGGCGAAGTATGATGTATGGAGTATGATAGTATCAAACTAAAGTAAACAATATTTAAAATTATTTCGTAGTTTTATAAGATCAATTTTCTGATTGAAATAAATATATTTTTCTTATTTATCAAAAACAAAATTATTTTGTTTTGTTTATAACACGTATTTCTTATTCGGTCCAACCAGCGTCAAAGATGAAGAATTTTAAATTGTTAGTATTCCAGTGAAGAAACTTTCAGGTGCTTTGAACTTATACAAGTGAAGATAGGGTACATGCTATAATTAAATTTTAGGGGTAAGTGCTATAAATAAAAGGAGAGACTATCTTAGGGATGACTGAAGTAAACGTTTCTATATTCCAACGCTTTTAAAATAATTAAGCAGATCCTTTTATTTTCAAAATAAAGGATTCTTTAAATTTCGCATTAGTTGTTATCAACATTCTTTGCCCACACTATTATATTAATTTCAAAACCAATATAAAAATAGTATTATCATTTAACGATTTTTTGTAGAGTAAGCCGAGTCACAGCCAAGTCACAAGGTTGCGCCTCTACTAAACGAACAACTCACCATTTAAGCCCTTCACTCTGAACTCTCTGTAACCTCTCAGTAAACCGCGCAAAGTCAAAGTGCATTTATGCAGAGTGCTAAAAGGTTAGGATCCAGCTGACCTGGCTCCACCTAACTGGCCCCTGCTGAAAGGGCTTACCGAAAATGTTGGCCAAAAGTGTGTAACAAAAAGAACAGCACTCACGGAAAATCCCCAAACACACTCTGGCAAACTTTTTGAACCCGCCGCATTCAAAGTTTTGCCAAATATGTTGCCAAAGCTCTTTTTGGCCAGTGTGAAACAGAATGTTGACCGAGAGTTCGATAAACTCCCTGGCCACTGTACTTTATAGAAACATTAATAACATTATCCGCACCCAAAACCCAACACCGAAAAACAAATGCAAAACAAACTAATCAAACTTTTTCCAGGATAACCCAAAACGACACAAAATGCGCAAAACAAATTGCTTTATTTTCTAATTCAGCTATGGAGCATTTTGCAGACTTTGTTTCGATCGAAAATCAATTTCTGTTAATGTGCCTGGGCCAAGAGTTTCAGCAGAAGAATCCATGCCACCCGCACAACCGCCCCCTTCCATGGAAACCCAGCATGCGTTGGTGGCCAGAGCATATTTTTGCATAAAGTTTATGCAAACATTTTTACTCCAAAACCCGCATAAATTACGTCGCCCGGCCCGGTGCCCTAATAAACCCTATCTGGCGGATGTCTGGGGCTCAGTAAGTGGCCCTGCTGCTGCTGCTGCTGCTGCTTATGGTTTTCCACTGGTACGTACTGCTGCTTATTTTGCATGTCATTTGCGTCTGAGCACTCTGCGGCCCAGAAACTGGGAATTTGGAGGAGCTCCAATCCTCTGTCTGTGCGGCAGATAAATCTCCGATATTTATAGTTTCAAATTACCAAAAAAATAAATATATTTTCGTTTGCCTTAGAAAGTGTAAAAAGTGTTTAATCTCAGTTACCCATGCCATTACGTTTGCCTAGTTTTATTCACGAAGTACAACTTTCGTAATTCAAGGTAAATATTTTATTTCGTTTCTTTTCAAATAGTGGTTGCAAAGAAAATAGCTGGGATGTGAAGTAAGAAGATTCTTTCACTTCCAAATGATACAATTGCCTCTGTCCTTCATTTTTAGCATATTCTCTTTGCGGCTTTTACAGAATAACCAATATTAAAATCTACCAACCAATAGCATATACAGAAATAACACACAATGCCACCTGTTTTAAGAAAAAAGTTCGTGAAACGATCAACGCCTGGTCGAGGCGTTCGAAATGCATTCCACAACTTTTTGGCTTGTTGTAGGCAGGAGAATGGTTGGATAAGAAACGATAAGAAACTTCAGCTTTCTGCCAGTGCAAAATGGAACAAATTGGATACAAAACAGCGCGACGAGTTTTCTTACAATAGATACAAAGTAAACATGCCATACAAGTTAGATTTGGCCACATTGGATGAGATTTTTGAGGGGCCCTACAACTTGCGAAGCTTGGACAATGGTGATGTGAGGGTTATCGAGGCTCCCAGGAACGTGACTTATTCAGTTTCGTCGATGTCCATCGTCCAGACGGAGATCAGTGAGGTGATGCAACCCGATGCCGATCTCAATGAGATTGAAGAACTAGCTTATACCGAGGAGCTCCAAAAAGTTGAGGGGCCCCAAAAAAGGTCCAAGCGCTCAAAGAAAATTCCAAAGAAATTGAATGAAGGTATGCGTAAGCCGGTGAAGCGGTTGCAAGCAAATGCCGCCAAAAAGCGAGGCTCCAAGCGAAATGACCCTGCAGTTCAGAACAAGCGCCCATCGTTAGTGGGCCGCAAAACCAGTTGCTTTTCGACCTACAGGAACTTCCTGCGTAAGTTTCGGCAAGCCAATCCCGGTCTTATGGCCGTGGAGGCCGCTACCGTGTGGCGCAAAATGAGCCTTGAAGAAAAAGACAAATTTCGCGGTAAAAGCTTGGTGAAGCGAAAAATTGCCATATCTACGCAGTTTCCTGAGGAGCCAATGCAGCAGGCGAGCGATAGTCCACTCCCAGTTTCGACGGTCAGTAGAGAGTCAAAAGATAATAATCGCGGCTTCCTTACGCAGGCTCTGAAAAAAGTAAAGACTTTTTTCTACTAACTTTATATTTTTCGTTTGTACACACACATAATAGTAAAAATTCGAAAAAATAATTTTTTTACAACTTGTCAGAATAAAAGTGAAACAAATATTTTTGGTTTATTTAATAAAATCTCAAGTGCATGGAAATCATTTGTGGCAAAAGGCTTTAAAAATGTCTAGTTGCTATTTCAGACTACACCCAGAGAAAAATCATGGCAAATCCAAATATTTTCATTTTAAATTAAATATTTTTGGTAGTTATTTGACACCAAAGAGGTGTTGTTCTTAAATCAAAGTGTGTTACACTTTTTTTTTATTTTTAAATATGGAAAATTGAGCTTATTGATAACAAACAATGTTAACCTACAATTTTCCCATTGGGTAAAACCAAATAAATATGTTAATAATTCCATTTTTATTATTTTAATTTATTTTAAGCATATATTTTGAAAAACAATGTAACAATCAAATATTATAATGTTTAATTTTAATATGCGTCTTCTCTCTGCGTGTAGCTTCTAAATAAATCCTTAGTCATAAATGTACAATACATATCCTTTGTTATTAGTTTCTATGTTAAATTTAACTTCCTTGACTTTTAACATAACCCATTTCGACCAATAAATAGCCACATATACTATCTAAATATAAGCAAATGCTGATCAAAATGTATTTTTAAGTCCCGCCCCAGAGGGTAAGTACTTTTAAATGTCTTGGTGGAATTATTCATACTTCGCTTCTGGGAAGTGCAATTGTTTTCGCTACTTTTGGCTGTGCCACCCTGAACCCTCCACAGTTATTGCTGTTTTGAGGGCGTGCTTGCCTTTGAGGTGAGTCAACAGGGCTTTGTCTACTTTCGACTTTCCTGCATCGACTTTCCTGCTCCTGGACCAACAAATTTCTCGCTATTGTTTACTTGGTTCAGAGTGCGTCGTTCCAGCCGCCTGAACTCTCATAGCTGCTTCCGTTTCCGGCTTTGTGTTTGTTTCGTTTCGTTTCGTTTCGTTTCGTTTCGTTACGATCCTTTCCCTTTCGCCATGCCTCCCCAAAATTTGGAAAACCCCGTGGCTTGCTATCCACATTTGGTGTTTATTTTATTGTACATTTGCTGCCGGCAACTCCGCTGAGCCGTGAACTGTGCGGCGTGTCATCATCTGCCTCGGTTTCAGTTGCAGACTGAGCTTCGGCATCAGCACCATCATCAGACCCGGAATCACCACCATTATCACCATCATTATCATCGGTGCCATATGAGAGGTAAATTTCCTCAGTGGCCATAGGCACGAGGAGCTTGGGAATGGGAATGGGAATGGTGTTGATGTCTGAGCCTGTTTTTCTGGCTGCTGTTATTGTTGTCTTTCGGTTGCTATTTACTTAACAATTTACTGAATAATTTAAACACCTTTTCCACCCAGCAGCGGATGGTGCAAGTTATCGGGATGGGGATATTGGGCCCAGCAAACAGGTACAGAATGAAGATAACGGAATGGAAAGTAAAATAAGTTGTAGTCTTTCAAATTATATATAATATACTGTTGTATGATTTCGAAAAATAAAAGTGACGGAAATTAAAATCATGAATATATTGTGAGTTTAATGATATATCTGCATTCGATTTTTCTGATCCTTTAAAAGTTATAGTTAAATAAAGAATAGCTTTAATTGCTATTTTTATTTATTTATTACTAACGTTTTCACTGGAATTCAATTGGCACGAATTTATACATTAAGTCGGTTTTAATATACATTTGGTAGTGAAAATTATTATATAACCTGTCAGCTAATATGTATAATTAATTGGTGTAAAAGCTGTCTGAATTGCTTTAATAAACTGTATAAAACTGTAATCGAATTTAAGTGAATTGTTTAAATGAAAAGAATGATTTGATAATTTTATTTTAATTCTTTAAGCAGAAAAACAAAAAAAATAATAATAATTTACATTGCATAATGGAAAATAAGACAACAGCAGCAGAGTTTGGTTGATGGGTACCAGCTAGTCTGCCACATCCGCGATAAGTTCACTACATGCTCCCTGTTGTTTTCCTGATGCCGCTTCGCATCCTGTTTGGTCCTTGCTGGCCACCACCATGTCCTCCCCCCCACCTCCCTATCTCCCCCCATTCCCCGTCGTTTTCCTCTGACGGGCGTTGAATTATGAACCTGACTTTCCTTTTGGGGCTTGAGGCTGGGTGGAAAAGTAAAAGTTTCACCTGTGCATGTGTGTTGGTGTGGCTGATAGTTGTCCACAGACTCACGCACACTACCACACACACAACTGACAATCAACCGCACACACACACACTCAAACACACACACACACAGTGGAACTTTCATTCGCTTGTGTTTACTTAGTCGAGTCTTTGACTGACATTTAATGCGGTTAGCATACGTGTTCGCCTCTGCGCCTGTGTGCGTGTTTGCCCCACTGTGTTGATAATGTGCATAATAAGCCTTAATTAATGTTAAATAATGAATTTTCTCATTTGTACGCCGTCAGCGTGGAAAAGGCACTGCCTTCGGCATTTCCTTGTTTCCCTTTTTAATTCGAGTCAAACACACGACTTTCTGTGGGCTTCCCAGTGTTTGCAGTTTAACCCTTGGTCGCCCCCCAAATGAGCCGACTTCAGGTCCTTTGTTGTGGTTCTTTCACCTTGCCCTTCTTTTTTTTCGAATTTTACAAAAGCCACAACACAAACATTTTTTTAAAATCAGCAAGTTTTACTTTTGGTTACTTTGTGTGTTTGCCAATTAACTGACCTTATCAAAGCGGCTTAATCAGACGGAAGGGTTAAGGTTTGCGAACAGGCGTAATTTACACCAGCTTAATTGAATGTTGAACAAAATAATGACAAGTCCCAGAGGAAAATTCCTAAAAATATCACAAACATTTCACGGTGCATCCAATCGAAAGCAACCCATCCCAGTTTTATTGTTTTTAACTCCTGTCCCAAGTTATGGCCACTCTTTGGACAAACTCTTGCAAAAACATAGCAAGATGCAACACCGAAAACTTCATCCCCAAACCCACAAAAGCAGCCAGTCCTCACAATGGCAAACTTTTCGAGGGCAACTCTTTTAAATCGAACACTTTTGTTTATTTACAAGCATTTAACCTAATTATGCAAGCAACTTTGCGCATAACAAATATTGAAGCCTCTCCGGCAGTTCGAGTATATATAAAAAGTTCAAACTGTCAGAACTTTGACAGCAATAATGTTGAGTTTTATGTACAACAAGCGGGAATAACTTAAACACTGCAGAAATTAGAAACAACATACCGAAAATGTCCGAAAAAGTTTACCCTCGATTCCTGCAACTTTTCTCGTTTCTTATTATGGCAGTTACTGTTTAGCTGATGATGCTGATGCTGTTGCTGTTGTTGTAGTTGTTGTCGCCGAAGAAAATCAATGCCGGCATATTTTATCCTTTTTTCATACGCAGGCGGCACACAAATACATATACAATAAAAGAGACCACTACACACTGACACAGCAAAAGGGGAGTGGGAAATCTGACTGTGATGCCGAAAAAAAACAGTTGCCCAACTCAGCGTTTTTTTTTTTTTTTTTTAGATATTTGTATATATTTTTTCGGTTATTTTGTTGTAGTTGATTAGCCGCCTGATGCTGTGGATTTTTATTATTATTTTGTATGATTTTTTGCGAGCTTGTTTTGTGCGGTTTTTATGGGCCTTGATTTGATTGCATTTTGTTTCCTGGGCCTGTGTTGGGTGGCTATTTTTCCCAGTTTTGTTGGCACTTTCGCTGACAGCCCTTAAGGCAATTATTTTTTAGACCCGAAAGTGCTTGATACGCGTTTCAATATTTGTTTGCTCTTTGTTTGAGTTTTAGTGAATATTTGTGGTGGCTTGTGTTCGTGGCGATTGTTACTCAAGTTTTTCGTTTATTTTTTGCCCCCCCCCTCTCTCTGTGTTATTTTCAGTCACTTTTTCGTAGTGGGTGGCATGCGCTGAGTGGCATGTCAATCAAAATCAATCAAATTGTTCGCGCTTTCGGGCTCGTTAGCGTTTACACATGTCGTTGTCGCTGCTTCTGGTTCCTCAAATTGCGGCAAATGGATTTCAGGTTGTTTTTTCGCCTGAAATTCCCGTCTCACGTTACCCGGCACACTCGGAAAATTCTGTTGGCGGCACGTACTGCCTCTCGCCGCCACTTTCTCTACACACACGCACGCACACTCACGGTGGGGTACGGTCAACTCCGGTTGGGCTGACCTACTGGGTCACCTTTTTGGGTTTTGGCTAAGTGAACTCCGCCGGCTGTGATTTATCCGTCCGGAGGATCGATCCACGGGTGGGGTTACGGATCGAAGCGGAACAGAGCGGTGTGGAGCGAACTCGAACGGATCGACTGCGGCGTGTCTGTCGCTCACGGCGTACGCTTTTCAACTGCTGCGCCCGCAACGCTCGACGGATTTCCAGGCATGCAGACGCCTCCGCCAAGTGAAAACCAGGCGGCCTTCGTGTTTTCTCTCGGCGACGTCCTCGTGCCTCGTCTTTCACTCGGCAAACTGTTATACTCTCTCTCTCTCTCTCTCTTTTGGGAGAGCAGGAAATTGTGAGAGGGCGAGAGAGCGCAAGGGAAAGTCACCGCGAGAGCGCATCACTTTCACCGGTTTCTCTGCCTGAATATTCAGAAGGCTGCGGCGGGTAACTACTTTATTTATGCTTTCGATGTGATTTATCCGGCTGTAAACTGCATATTTAATGACATTTATCAATTGCAAATGAATAAACATTTTTATGTCAATTGCAGAAGCTAAAGAATTAATCGAAAAGTTAAAATTTTCACCGATGAGTTGTATAAACTAATAATAGTTGCAGTTCCATTAAAGCACTGATATTTACATTGTCATTCAAACAGCTTATTGACATATAAATTTTAAATGAGACATGCTAATTTTTATGTCCTCATATTTTTTAATATACGCATATAAACATGCAAAATTTTAAAAAGTCTGAAATGCAGCAATAATGAAACCATGCAAAGAAATACAATTTTATAGAAAGAGCTATCAGAATTTATAACAAAAACCGTCCACAAATGAATAATTGAAAGTAGTTTGTAAGCTTTAAAATTATATTTTAAGTTTGAAAAATATATTATTAATTTAATACTTAAACCAATTGTCAAATGAATGACAAGATTTTGTTTGATCAAACTATATAATTTTTTGAAAGAATAAATTAAATATCTACATTTTTCTCCAGTTAGGCAAACGCAAGCAATAGTTTGCTTGATTTCTGCCCATCCCGAAATGATATATTTTTTTTTTAAGAAACCATGACCTAAGTGCACGTCTTTACGTGTTTAGGAACATTAATTTAATAAAGAAATTGAAATTGTTTGCGATTCCACCTATTTTGATAAGCACTGGCCAATGCCTTTTGTGTTAGACTGGTGTTCCCAGGTGTATAAGAGCGGCCACACAAACTGTTCCCATCAAAATTTCCCCCTATACAGCTCTCTCCCAGTATAACAGATGGTATGAGTATAACAGGGCATGGCTCAGGGAGTCGGCGCCGCTCTGGAAATGCTTTAGCCCCACAAAAGCCAACCTCAACTCGCAGCTGACTGAGTGAACTGCTGGGAAAACTTCACCACGGACTCAAGCGTGAAAACTCCCAAGCTGAGGTCCTCGCCGGCGGAATATGTGGCCGGAATCGGAGGCTCAGATCGGGAGTGCATTTCCCCTTTTCCCTTTCCCTTTCCCCTTTTAACATTTCCCATTTCCCGTTTCCCATTTCCCGTTTCACCTCCAAACTCCGGCCCAAAAGCCCGTGACACCAGGCGAAACGGGTCCCCCGGGGGTGCCAAAAATCCATTTTGGCCAAGACCAAAGACAAGAAAAAGTCAAGCCGAAGTGGAGAATGGGAAAAAGAAAGGGGGCAGCGGCAGCGAAAAATATCGATTTGGTTCGATTGTTGTTGCCTGGCCGCCCACAGCGAATTGTATATTGCTTTATAAGCAGCTTCTGTCTTCGGTCCAACCGAGGAATGAAAAAAAAAAAACTGAAACAAACTCAAGAAGAAAAAGAAAATCAGCAGACCCTGCCCTGCGGTTGCTTATTTGGCTGCTTTAGTTTCGCTGCCATCAAGTGAAGTCCTTTTCGCGATTTCACAAAAAAAAAAAATACAAATAAATCCGGAGAGGGGAACTCTGCGTTTTACGCTATTTTTCTTGTTTGATGCCTGCGCTGCTTCTGCTTCTGCCTCGGCCATCTCCATCTATCGAAATGAGTAAATAACCAATGAAGCAGATAGAAATGTTTATTGTTATTCTGCGCGGCTTTCCCTGCGCCCGTGCTTTTCTTGGCCATTCGAATCAATTTTGTAGGCAGCTTGTAGCCATGCCATTTCCATCTGCATTTTTATTCAAATTTACTTTGGCCCCGGCATAAAGGACAAGATTGTCGTCTTGCTGCTGAGCAAAAGAGCCATTGCACATTATGAATGCTGCCTTACAATCTTTGCCCATCACCCACAAAAACACTCCTTTTGCCCGGAAGTACAATAATTAAGGCTGCGTTAAGTATACGCACCTTGGGCACGGCTGAGAACGTTGTCCGTTAGTCGTGTTCTTCGCTCCACTCCCGCATAGTTTGTGTCGCATTAAAACTATTTAAGTTTTTAATGCCCTAACAGCGATGATCTTGTGACTGGCATATAAATTACTCAGCCGCCCCGTGGCCCCTTAGCCTTTGCATTAATGCAGCTTCAAAGGCCTGTCGCGCTTCCAAGCCACCACCCACCACCCACCGCCACCCAGCACCACGTCCTTGGCATCAAGCGTGGAAAGCGTGGAAAACAGCGAAGCTCGAAGACGTTGAGCACTTTGCCAAAGTTTCTACTTGGCTCGTTGGCAATTTTTACTTTGTTGCTTTATAGGGATTTATGTTTAATCGGGCAAAGGTTACTTCAACCCGCTTGCTCGCACTATCGCTCGCAAACACACACACACACACTTTGGCAGGCAGACATGTTAAAAGCTCCTTTGTTTCAGTGTCAGCGCGGAGGAAATAGGACGAAAATTGCAAGGATAAGAGAGGCGGAAACTGTTACATGCACTGTTGGCACCGAAAGCGAAATTTGTTAAATCATCACCTATGGCTAACATGAATATGTCCTTTCATATTTGTAAAGCTATGCAAAGGGATTTATATTTTTAGCCAAAAACTGCACATAGAACTCACAATTTGTCAAGCTACGATTTCAATAGGGCATCTATAACCCCTCGTTATTTTTAAAGTTTTTTATATTTGAAGAATTATACGACATTTTCAATTTATACGAAAACTTTGAAAATCCACGTTAAGTTAAACCAAAATACATGTAGTATTTTGTAAAATAAAAACAAAAAACAAGGCAATAATTTTCAAACTAAAAATTAAGTCAATGTTTCACATAAATCTCCTTAAACAGCCATTTATGAATATGTAAACAGCTAAGGAGCAAAAATATTTAAATATTTATATAAGTTCTTCGCTTCTTCCTCTAAATATAGCTTTTGGCTCTTCATCTTTAAATCTTAATCAGATGCTTAGAAGCTTTATCAGCTGGCAGCTTCTTAACAATATTATCCCATTAAATGCTTCGCAAAGAAAGTCAAATAAATAATCCTACTGCGAACTGAATTGCATTTGCCCGCACCCCGTTGGCCGTTCATTAACCCGCTCAGAGCCGTTTAGTTACTTGGATAAACTGTTACAATTGTCCCCAGCTCAGGTTCGGTCAATAAACGAACTTCCCCTGGACTTTAATTGAAGAACTGGCAGCGTCTGCATGCAAAACAATCTCGGCACACTGTCGCAAAAATTTGAATTTAATATATAATAATAATAATAATAATATATTTTACAAATATCATTAAGGTTTGGATAAAGATATTTTGATTTTCAAGTACCGGACATTTGTGGCATCGATATTTTTAGTCGTCATTTCTTGTTCAACAAGCAAAAAAAGTGCTAAACTCAATTACTATCAATTATTCCCGTTAAAAAATAAATGTTTCGACCTATAATAGTCAGTGCTTATTAATTGTTAGCAATTAAAGTTTTAAAAGTAAGCACTAACTTTCAATTGTACTAAACAAATAGTTATTTACGAGTCAAATTATTTTTAATCCTAAATGATGTTGCTGGCCAACTTATGTTAACTAATTAAATTATATTTAATTTTATTTTCTCTGCTTAAAAAACGTCTTAAATAGCATTTAGAATTTTGTAACCTTACAGTCTAAAAACTTTTCAAATGTTTTAAATAAAATTCAAGTTTTTTGTACTCCCTATATTTTGTGTAAGTTTTGTAATTTTGTTTTAAGTATAAAGGATTGCATCTTGGTAATGAAAGTTGTCCCTAACAAAGATTTGCCATGCAACTTTGGAGCCCGGGGTACGTACTTTATCTACAGCAAAAAAGGACCACCATTGATTGGTAGTGCGAGACGTAGTTCTTTGATTTGTGTCTAGACCAAGGAGCGCGTGCTTCACCGCCGGTGGAAAATAGAAGAGCTGCCCGAATAACAAAAAGCAACTTGGCTTTGGAAAATTCATAGCCCGCGCGCGAAAGTTTATTAGATGCTCTTTGCTGTCTGTCTCTGTGTCAATGTCTGTGTCTATATCTGTATCTGTGTCTTTGGCTTTGTCTTTGTGTTTGCCAGCGCTTTTCCTTTGCTTTTGTTGCCTTTGAAACGCGGCCAGAATTTTAATTTCCGCCCAGAGCGTGTCGCACGTGGCCGCACTGTCAAGGAAGTTGACAAAGCAGCGCGGCAGCGCCTTTGAATTACAGCCAAGTACCGTCGACCTTTGTGGGCTTTGTGGGTGTTGTGGGCCATCAGTTTGGCCGCCTGTCTGTAATTATGCCCCGCTCTAATTAAAAGCCAAAATAGTTGACCTTGGCTTGCCAACGAAAAAAATGTGTGAGTACGTCAAAGGCAAAAAGTCGAAAGAAGTGGAGCACGAGTGGATGGAATTTAAAAAAAAAAAAAAATATAACAAAAATTTAGCGGATGGGGAATATTCATGGGAAATAGTTGGCGATTGTTTTCGACGCATTCGAGCGTTCAATGCACTCCAAATATTTGTTCGAATATTTGCCAACACGCTCCAGCTTTTCTGCTGTTGCTGTTTCACTTCTGCTCGGCTTGTTAATGCCATTGTTGTACAACTTTTGTGCAAAATATTTTACGCCCCACAATTTCCTGGAAATCTACATTTTGCCCTGGCCTTTTTGCTTTTTTTTGTTTTTTTCGGGCAGCCCTCGAACACACACATCCAGCAGCGGGCCGAGTGCTGGGACCGACGAGACAGACACACATTTATGAGAATGGCTATTGGCATCGAGCCATGGCCCAAAGCCGTGATGCAGTTTGGCTCGTTTTGTGCCTTTTCCCAGTCCGTATTTTCGGC